CTGAATTGCTGCTTTGGGGAGATACCTTTGAAAGAGGACATACCATATTTGTAAGGATTTTTTAATTCTTAACTTTGTGCACATGTCAGTTTTTGTTTAATGTTTTTTGTTGTAAAGTATTTTTGCTCTCCCTGTGATTTTCCATTCCTTAATTTCAGTGTCATATTCCTTCAAGTCGTGAATCTACTGTATTAATGAATTTTAATTTCATCTTAAAATTTTTCTTTCTTTACTTAGTTGAGGTGAGTGAGGGTCTGTTTATTTTGATACTACAATCTTTAATGCACATGTCCTTTTTTCCATCTTGCTCTCATTGCTGTTTTATTTTTGTGCATCTTCTTCAGTGCCCTGCGTTTTTTTGCTGATGTAAACATGGGTCAGTTGTGCTTCTAAACTTAAAGAATTTGAGAGTGTGTAGGTTAGAATTAGATCATCAGTTTTGGTACTTCATTAACATGAAAAGATACATAAGCCACTTCATTCTCCCTCCAAAGAGGAAGGTCTGGGAGGGAAAAACTACCAATATAAATTTAAAAGTGTATTTATTCACTCACGTAGCAAGTTATTTAAAGACTAATTCCATCTTCAGTTAATTTTGTTTTATTTTTTTACTTAATTTTTTTCTTAACTGTTTTCTCAGTGAAATGAAAAGCTGAAAGTGAGAGTGCATGAGAGGATGTTGGCTGTTTTCAGGACACAAGAAAGTCGATGAAAGAGTAGTCTCTAAGAGTGGTACCATCAAGAGAGTAAGAAAAATAGTAGATCGTTATCCGGACACACTCAAGATTACTATCATGAATTTAAATCCAAATCAGTTGAGCATCACTTTGTTTTTCTCCAGCCTAATTCCTATAGGTGGCTGTAGGCACTGAATGCTACATTTAAATGAAGCTTGGGAGTTTGCTACCTGAGTAAGCCCAAGTGAAAGAGGGATGCCATCCTCAAATCTCCAGACCAAGGTGTCAACAAGAAACTTGCAGCTTTTCTTACAGCTTTTTATAAGGGAACAGCCACCTGTGTTCTTGCAAAACCCTTAACTGAGGATCCTCTCCTGTAAATAGAAGCTTTTTTCTTTCCCTGCTTTTCCAAAAATACAGTGAGAAAAGGGAAAAAAACTAGATTCAATCAAGATCAAGAGAGACACCAAATTCTACTATCCACTCCCCAGGACCTCCAAAACACATGCACAGATCTGGAAGTAAGCATACGTTACTTATAGCTTCTCAGCCTTTTTTGCTAAGAACAATTGTAGCTTACTTCTAGCTTACAAAGTGAAAATTTCTAAGAGAAGCTCTGGTTGTGGACCTAACACCTAAGAGCAGAGGCAGTCAAGGGTTACTTTTTTGATCGCAGTGTCTACCACTGAGCTATATGAGCCCTATTTAGGGGTCTTTGACTCGAGTCTTCTGGAGTTGAAACATGTCCCTACCCCACGAGCTTGCTCCTGTCCAGCCATCTCCTAACAGTCTTGCCAGTTGCTGTCCTGCCTCTTCAATTCCCAGTAGGAAAAGGCGGGGAGGAAAGGGGAGAGATGTGAATGGGTCTTAGATGTTGGGAGGCAGAGCCATCCCAGAGCAAATAGGAAGTCTAGGAGCCCATTCTAAAGTCCTGGCTGTGTGCCAGGGACAGCAGAGACCACAGGATCTACACCTGGTGCCCTTGACACAGGAGTTGGCTCTTGTTCTGTCACAGGCTGTCCATTTATAAGAAAAAGATGTAAAACAAACAGACACCACTTCATGACACTCTCTAGTCCTCACATCAATCCTCCTGCTGCATGGACAGCTACTTTTTTGTGTTTCTCCTCCACCCTGGCAAAAACCTGAGCTGGCAGTGGTGGGATTTGAACCCACACACCGGAAGAGACTGGAGCCTTAATCCAGTGCCTTAGACCACTGAACCATATTACCACAAGTGAGCAGCTCTCATACCTCCTCTTTCTGATGGTAATTGTGTTTAAAAACAAAACAACAAAACTTTTCAGCTATTTTCTACAACATATCCTAAGAGCATATGGAGGAAATGTTGGGAAAACAAATGATTCTCTCACAAAAGCTGACTCTCCTTGCGGACTCCGAACTGTTATTCCTCCACCCTGGGCTTAAAGGGGAAGGTTGGTCTCATTGAATGAACGAATGAATGAATACTGAGTAAAGAGTGACTGAAATCTTCACGGCACTAGGCTGTGGGCCTTTCACAGGTGTAGACTATATTTTACTTTTCCTGACTTAATCTCATTCTTGCCACAAATTTCTTAGAAAGATAAACCAGGTTGTATGGTAACTAAAGCTACAAAAATTAGCCTCAAAGGAACATGTCTTAGGCATTTGCAAACACTGGAGGGCCTCCTTAGAGCAGGAATCTAACCATCGTCCCAAAGATGCCCAGGAACTCCCCAGCCCTCCTTGTACCCGCTGAAACAGATGGGGTGCACATACGTATGAGGCTGTGGCCAGCTCATAGGGCCAACCCCTTTCAAGCTTTCACACTCTGTTCCTCAAACAATCCGAGATGTCTTCATCCTGCTCCCACATACAGAACAGATGCCTATATGGTACTAATGTAATGTTTTTAGGTTCTTAAACCGCAGGTTTGTCACGTTGGCATTTCAGCCTTGCCAATCACCCCTCTGACCTCGCCCCCTCATGGAGCTTAGTTGGGAAGGGGGCGCAGGGCTCCAGTTCCCTGCTGACAGATGTTGCCTCTCCTGGGTACAGCCTGACACCACACCTTTGAAGGAATGCCTCTGGGCCTTCCTCCACTCAAAACCCATCTAGCTTAGGGACATAGTGGACTTATTTTCCTGAGAAAATATTCTAGCAACAAGCAATCAAAATTAAAACTTAAAAGAATAATTCAATTTTATAATATAATCATTCAATATGAAATAGGAATAAAACATGTCCAATACTTGTACAGTGAAAAAAAGAGAGAAATGAACAACAACCTATATATAAAGAGAAAGAAATACTTCATATTCAAATGAGAAGATTCGATGTTGTTAAGATATCAGCTATCCCAAAATTAATTTATAGATTTAATGCAATCCCAATAATAATCTCAACAAATTATTTTTGAAGAAATTGACAGGCTGATTCCAAAATTTATATGAAATGTCAAAGATACAGTGTTCTCAAAACAACCTTAAAGACAAGAACAAAATTGGCAAACTAACTCTGACATTTATTGCATTAAATCAGACTGTATTTATATTTATTTATTACAAAGCTACTACAATTAAGAGTTTTATATTGACATTAAGATGTAAAACAGAGAACTATGGGACAGAAGTACAGAGTCAGAACCACACAAATATTGTCAGCTAATCATTAGCAAAGTTTTAAAGACAATTCAGTGGAGTCTTTTCAACAAATGTACTGAAAAGATTGTAACAAACAGATTTTAAACCTGCATCACACCATATACCAAAAAAGAAAGAAAGAAAGAGGATCATGTATTTAATGGTAAAACTCAAAATTCTAAAATGTTTAGAATAAAATCTCCATCGTATTTTGGGAAAGATGTTACACATACACCATTAGAAGTATGACCCACATTAAAAAGAAGAAGAAATATGACCCACAGAAGGAAAACGTGGTTAAATGAACTTTGTCAAAATTAAGATCCTCCACCCTTTGAAAGTCACTGTTAAGAGACAACCCCAAGAGTAGGAGGTAATCATCTTCAGACATGACTTTGCTCCTAGGGGACATTTGACAATATCAGGAGACATTTTTAGTTGCCCTAACTGGAGAGGAAGGGCAGTACTACTGGCATGAAGAGGGTAAAGTCAGGGATGCTTCAGACAGCTCTCCACAGCAAAGAATTACCCATTCCAATAAGTCCCCAAAGGGGAGGTTGACTAGAGTATTAAGCCACCCAGACAAGCTTAACACTTGCCTTCCGCAGGGAAACAGGCCAGTCAGATTTCATTATTACCTACTGACACAAACCGGTGACTCTCTTCCAAAGCTTTGAAGAAGAAACAATTCTTAAATGCAAAAGTGTAGCTGGTGGACACTGAGTCCTGTCCAAGGCACCTTCTGATGCCAAAGGCCTGTCAGGAGGGGATTTAGTAACAGCATTGCATTCTGCAAAGACCAGAGAGAGATGCTTTTTAAAGAACTCAAATTCTCAATTTGAACTCACCTTGGGACTTTTTGCTGGTGAGGTGTTCTTCCACGGTGAGCTCAAGCCAGGGAGTCAGACCTTTAACATCACTTCCCTGAGCTGGTGAGCAGCTGTCCCTGGTGATTCCTGTCCTGATTCACCCATCTTTTCTTACCATGCTAATGGAAATGGAGGGAGATGGGTGAGGGAGTGGGTTGTAGTTGAGAGAGGGTCAAAGGTGGAGAGAGACAGCATTGAATGGGAAACTTAGTGGAGGTCCAGAGGCAGACAACAGCAGGGACCACAAGGACACCTTCAGCTCTGTGTAACTGCCTAAATTCCCAAAGTCAACATTTAGGAGCAAATGAAACAAATGTTCACTTTACTCTGTGCCTCTTATCCTACTCTTTCACAAAACGGCCTGCATTTTCAAGGTTATTTAAGGTTCTAGCTGCAATGTCATCCCTTTGGCAAATCCCTATTAGCAGCTGCCTTTTAAACAGAAGTGAAGATAGGAAAGAGTGTATCATTTTATGAGTTTGTGAGACTAAACTCTCAGCTTTCATTGGCAGCTGAATTATTCATTCACTGGTCATATTCCCCAGCTCAGAGCTAGGTGTTCAGAAAATTCAGATGATAGTTGTTTTTTTGTTCTGTGTTGTTTTTTGTTTTACTTTAGAACTTGAAACATTTATTTTATTATATATTTTATTTTTATTAGTAAACGTTTGCAATACATATTGATTGCTTTCATTGTGGGGGGTTGGTAAATGTACATGACACATTTTAATTATTTTTGCTTCCACTTCTGGGTGATAGGTTTTAATATAAGGTGAAACCCAGAGTACAGACACTGGAAGCCATCTGTGATGATTGTAAAAATGAAACCTTGGCAGGGGTGGGATTTGAACCCACACCTCCATAGAGACTGGAGCCTAAATCCAGCACCTTAAACCACTCGGCCACACTACCAATTTACAACAAGTTATATGTCTACTTTTCCTGGTTATAATATTCTGTACTTTTATTTTTCAGGGTTGTGCTCTGGACACCCAAGTTGAAACCATATGTCATGCATCTCCAGAGGACACTCAGGGAGAAGTTTCCAAGATACCTTTTTCTCTTCCCTCCTTTCTCCTCCCCCTATCCCATTTGAATCTGCATGCAAACCTGAGATCGGGAGCAGCTCCTCTCTATCTGGAAACTAAAGGAAAAGATTTCCTTTCAGACGAACTAGCAGCCCCGGAAGCCAAGCTCTTGGGATCTAGAATGTAGAGCTTCCTAAAGGCAGGGGCCGTGACAGCCCCAGCCTGGCGCCCAGCGAGCCTGATAGCCCAGAAATTAAGTATTGACGGAGTGGAGCTTCCGCACTTAGACCCCAGACGGCCCGAGGCGGGGATGGGCGCGGTGGAAGAGAGAAGAGCACCTTTCTCATTCTCCCTTGTGCGTTCTGAGGCAGGAAAGCACCCTTCGAGACTCCAGGAAAAGGAGGCTGTGCGTTAAAGGATCAGGACCGACCTCGCGTCCTAATTCTCTGCTGCTCCTGGAGAGGCACAGTGCAGAAAGTCTATGCCGGTTAAGGCTCGCCCTCGAGTGTCGACCCGAGCGGTCTGCAGCCTCTGTCTCCCAGTTCTGCGTGCACAAGGTTGATGCTAGGTTCCGACTGTCGCGGGAAAGCGTGAGGTTCCACCTGCCTGCCGGGTTACGACGGGGTGAAGTTAAGGAACGCCGGGATGTTGATATATCTCTATCGTTGGTTCGTGGCAGTAGCAGAGAATTTAACTCACTACTGTGGTCTAAACTTGCAGAGAAAAACAGATGCCCGTCGCAGCAAAAGGATGGGTGGGGGGCTGGGGAATGTTTTGGTTAATTTTGTACTTCCCAGGGCAGAAACTGTGGTTCGCTAGTAGCACCTAATCACTAATCGTGTTTTTCTGCTTGATGAAATGAGCTATATCTGGGGACCATACCAAAGAGGCTGTAAACAGATTGGTTGTATATGTTCATATTCGATTTCTCTCCCTTTCCCTCCCCGCTTCTCCCTCTCTCGCAAAATATACCAAGTTGGGGAAGAAGCGCCCAGACCTGGCACTCTTCCTCAGAACCAGCGGTGGTTATTGTCTCTCAATCACTTTGAGCTTCTCAAGAAGGAAAAAATGCTCCGCTTGTGCCTGGCGGTGGACTGGGGAGTGAGGCGATCGTCTAGGACATATAGGGGATTCTTCCAGGAGTTTTCTCCTGAAATTCTATAGGCTTTGTCTATGACCTAGCATTTTGAGGGGCTAAGGCAGGAGGATTGTGAGTTCAATTGCAGTCTGGGCTTCTTAGGGAGACTCTGTCCATAATAATAATAATAATAATATAATAATAATTTTTAAAAGGCTGTAAGTGTAGTTCAGAGTGAAAGACCTAGCTTCAATCCCCAGTACTGGAAAAAAGTGACCTTACTTGGAAATATCATCTTTATAGAAATAACTGTTATGGTTTGTATCCAGATGTCCACTCAAAGCCTCATGTGGTCACAGGTGAGGCTTTTTGGAGGTGGCTGGACCAAGAGTGTGTGGTGCTGAGACTAAGGGTGTGCTGCTAGGATAAGGGTGCCCCACACTGGGTATGAGTGCTGCCCACCCTAAGGGCTGGTAGCCTGGATGGAATACAAAGGTCAGAAAGAAGGCTGCTGCCATTACTTGCTGCTTCACTGCTTTGCTGCTTGGCTGCTTGGCTGCCTTCTGCCTGCCAAGAACGATTTCTGCTCTGCAATGCCCCTCTGCCATCACACCCTGCCTTGGAGCCAGCCAAGTATGGACTGGAACCTCTGCAAACTCTGACCTAAATAGACCTTGCCTTCTTTAACTTTGAGTGTCAGTTATTTTGTCTCAGCAACAAGAAAAGTAACTAAAGCAATAACCAAGTTGAAATATATTTTCTAAAATTTTGCCCGTGCTGAATGTGCTAAAAAACTTGGGTTTTTTCTTAAAGATGACAGCTAACCAAAGATCATGGTAACCCCAAAATAGCACAGGTTTCTTAAACTATTGGCAAACCAACCAAGACCCTTTGGGAGAGCTTCATGCATCTCCTCCTCAGTTAGATACACTATTAAGTAGCAGTCACTCAAGAGAACAGGGACTGGGGTGTTCCAGGAAGAGAGAAAAGTCTGAGAAAATATACAAAGGGAGCCAAAGAGCAGTAAAGGGCATGGAAACTGTGATTATCTTTCCACGCCTGTGCCTGAACTCCTCATTCTTGCTCTCTTCAGAATCCAATCTAGAGCACAGTGGGGGATGACTGCCTACAGTATGTGAAACTAACACAAAGAGAAAAACTGGGACAGGTTTGTGAAAGCAAGGCTAGGAATCAGTCTTTTCTGGCATGTTACTCACTGGATTATAATTTCACTGCTATCTTACAAATTGCCGTATTTTGTGTGATCCAGGGTGAGTTGAATCTCTAGTTTTGTGTTTTTGTTTTGCTTGTGGTCCAAAAGTCCCATATCTGACTGACTCCACAACTTTTCCCCCTCTTTCTTCTTGAGGATTATCTTTGAATCATAATTCCAGACTCTGTCCATAGGTGTGGGTACAGTGAAAGAGCATGCATTACATTAAGCTAATACTGAAATTGGACTAAGGGGGCCACTCAGTTAAAGAAAATCCAGAATCTCTCAAAATAAGCACAAGAGTGGCCCAGAGAGGATCTCAAAAGAAGAAAGGAAAAGACTTCACAGATCTAATACAAACCATATATTACTCAGTGGATGTCAATTTGCAATTAGGGCTTCAAGCAGTATGACAGTAGCTTATTTATTGTGTACCACAACATCTTTCTGTATGATTTCTTGCACTATCACATCCAGACAGCCAAAATTTTGTTTCCCAAGCTTTGACATATAAGAACCTGTCATGACCTAAGCTCTGCTGCCTATAAGAGGCTGAAAAGAAAGAATCTGAAGTAATGGCACAAAGGATTTTGTATAAGCCCGAGTGACTGCCCTCTCTTGAGTTCAGAAGTGCAAATTTGCATGCAGCAGAAATGGCTGGTCAGATATTTTTTGCTGTTACTTAGAGCTTTTCTTATCCTTTCTTCTCTGCCCATACGGCACTAAAATTTGAACCTGTATTTTCCAGATTTCCTTGCCAGCTGGTTTCAGATTAGGCTCTGTCAGTTGGATTTAGACAGTATCTCTAAAGATTATCAGACCACATCTACAAAGAAGCTATTCTGCTTTTGCCCCAGTAGTCATAAATGATTTTCACCAGATTGAGGTAAATTCTTTCGATGTCTATTTTCTTTCAGTTTTTTTTTTCCAGGAATTGAAGTTGGATTTTGTCAACAGCTTTTTCTGTGTCTATTGAGATGATCATGTGATTTTCATCCTTACTTCTGTGTATGTGGAATATTACATTTGATTTACATATGTTGAGCCATCCTTGCATCCCTGGGATCAAACCCACTTAGTCATGATGTATGATATTTTTGATGATTTGTTGTATTGTTTTCCAAAATCTTGTTGAAGATTTTTGTCTCTATGTACATTAAAGAGATTGCCCTTTAATTTTCTTTTTTCAGTTGGGTCCTTGCTTGGTTTTGGAAACAAGGTAATGCTAGCTTCCAAGAATGAATTTGGCAGTACTCCTTGCCTTTCAATTTCTCTGAAGAGCTTGGGGAATATTGGCATGAAGTTCTCGTAGAATTCAGTGCAGATCTGCAAATCTTTCTTACGCTTATCTTTTCAGTCTCTTCAACATGTCTTTAGAAGGGTAGAACATTTTGATTTTAACAAGACTTAATTTATCAATTTTAAATGAATTTTGTTTTTGACATTACATCTAAGATGTCTTAGTCAGCATAGTGGAACATGCCTTTAATCCAAGCATACAGGGAGTTGAGGTAGGAGGTAGAAAAGTTTGAAACCAATTTAAACTTCCCAGAGAAAGCCTGTCTCAACACACACACCCACCCACCCCACCCCACCCTCGCCTCATTCCAGATCACAAAGAGTTCCTTTCCCTTTTAAAAAAAATTTTAGTCAATGATATGAGAAATGTATTGAAGACACTTTTTTTTTTTTGACACATGGATATCCAATTGTTTCAGGACCACTTATTGAGAAAAACTACTCTTTCCTTTGTTGACAAAAAAATAACGATCTTGGGCCTGGGATTTAGCTCAGTGGTTCCACTGCCTGACCCCAAGCATAAGGCCCTGAGTTTGATCCCCGGTACAAAAAAATTAAATAAATCTTGCTTTAAAGGAAAATAAGAAAATAATTTATTCCAAGCCAAACATGAGTGACCATGGCCTGGGAACACAGATTCCAGTTACCCTGAATAACATATGCCACCATGGAAGAGGTTACATGGACTTTTATGGCCCCAGAAGAGATACAGTCATAAATCAATACCTTCAGTGTATACAGAGAGGGGAGGAATTATATAGGCTGGTTAAGGTACAGTAGGGAAAATCTGACCATTAGACTGATTGACACTGTATCTTAATGCATTCTCAGGGAGAAGATTGGTAGCATCAAGACCCTGTTCTTTCACTAATTGTCATGAGGCATGTTAGGATAGACACCAAAAGTTAGATATGGAAGAGAGGCAAGAAATAGAACCCTGAAGCACTTAATTTGGCTCTAAGCCTGCAGTGTGGCTCACATTCACCCATAGTAACCAGGCATAAAGGAGTAAGATACATATGTGATATCTTGTGTAAAAACAGGCACGCATGCATACATATGCACACAAATTTCCTGTAACTGGAGAATTTGTTCTCTTTTACCACGAAGGACAAGTCTGTTTTTACTTTCCTTATGCTACTATGTTAAGTATTTGAGGATAGTAACGATGTACCAACTTTCTCTTTTGCATATTTAAAATCTTCAGTTTCATCTGTAATTTTTTTTTTGTGGGGGGGGGGTTTCACTCCGTAATTCAGTCTGGCATTAAACTCACTATGTTACCCTCAAACTT